GTAGTATAGAGGGGGGGAGTAGGGGAACCCATGCCGGAACCCTGAGTCTTCTAAACCCGCCAGAGCCCGGCTAAGTCCAAACCCGGCGTCCGAACTCCCAAGCCTGCTGGAAGCCTGTAATCCCTTGACCCCTTACCTGCAGGCTCTGATGTAGTTCCTTTCTGGAATATTTTTGGGGTTTAGGGTTTAGGGTTTAAATTTAGGGTTAGGGTTTAGAGTTGAGGGTTTAGGGTTTGGGATTCTAGTCTACTACCCTGACAAGGTACTACATAGGAGCCCTTGAAAAACCCTCAGCCCTCAACCCTAAACTCTAACCCCTAAACCACACTTATGCTCACAAGGATCCAGGTGGCTACGTGGAGCGCATAGCCTGCCGTCTGGGATTCCCAGCGAAGCGCGTCCACGGCCGCTGTAAGAGCCGCTATGACCTGCGGGTTTAAGGGCGTACCCGGGGTGGTGGTGGGGGGAGCAATGAGAGTGATGACAGTCAGGAGGGTGATACGAAAATGCAGAACATAGTGACTGCAGCAAGACCCGAACAGCTCTCAACACAAGTCATGCTCGTAATACTTGTGAGAATAGATCAGAAAACAACAACAGCAATCCCCGACATGATAGTAGCACGTCGGAATGATGGCAATAATCGTCAACAGCAATCACCGAAATACGCATCGCAATGTCGTAACAGCTGCAGTGCTACCAAGAAGAACCATGATCCCCTACTTTGGAGCAGACCCTGGAAAAAGTATATACTGTATTTTTTAGGTATGGGTAGCTATGATCGGAACCCAGAACCAACAAAAGTATGGAAGTATAGGTATGAGTAGCTATACTAGAAACCCAGAATCAACAAAAGTATTGAAGTATAGTACTCCAAAACCCAGGATCAATGTCCAGCGTGAGCCAAGGGGCGACGGTAACTCCGGTGGACACCAGTAGGGCAATATTCCAGCTGATGACGTTCGTGCCCAGGAATGTCAGCAGAAATGTGGCGCCGAGAAACCCTCCTGACAAAAAGGAAATCTCGATCTTCGAGCTTCGAAGTTGGGCTTAAAACGGAACGTCAGAACCTACACCAAGCCCATTGAAACTTAAACGGCGATCCAACACCCAACAGAGCTTGGAGAGTCATGCTGGCAACCTTGCTGGAAACCTTGAGCCGGCTTAGGTAGCCGTCTAGCCTGCCCCTTGCTATAGAACCCCAAGGCACGGCAAATCCTATGCTGAGACTCCTGTAGGAAGGTACGCAGCGATGTCCCACAACAGTGGCGGCAGCATCGCTGTAGGCACTCGCTTGCGACTACTCGCGGATTTATGAAGTTGGTGTGTCAGTTGAGGGTTAGGGTTAGGGTTTAGGATTTAGGGTTTATGGTTTAGGGTGTCATAGGTGTTCTGGGCTCCAGTAGACCTTAAACCCCATGAACACCAAACCCGGCCCTGAAGTCTGGGCTTCGTGGCACCGTCTGTGAAAGTAGAGGTGGCTTAGGGTTTAGGGTTTAGGGTTTTAGGGTTTAGGGTTTAGGGTTTAAGGTTTAGGGTTTAGGGTTTAGGGTTTAGGGTTTAGGGCTTAGGGTTCCGGAATGCATGTTTCCGATGGCAGGACCCTATCATGACGGCCTAGTAGTCAAAGGGGCAAGGCATGTTCTACCCGAGATCGGTGGACGGCTCTATTCTGGGGTTAGCTAAGATTGCCGCTGTGATACGCTGCATGAGCTATACGTCAGATGAGCGCACGCTCCGTCAGCTTGAGGCGTCGGGGGCGCGGGCGCGGAGAACGACCGTAGTTTCGAGCAATCTCCATGCCTCAAGCCTTTCCATGATGCGTTTGCATGGTTTTAGGGTTTATAGGGTTTAGGGTTTAGGGCTTGGGGGTAAATTTGGGGTCTGGACTTGCTTGCGGGCTAGGCACCATGGGAGTGCCTCGCTGCTGCATCACGGGGCCTCCCTCAAAACCTTAAGCTTGGGATGTTCCCCCTTATACTACCAGTCCTGAATAAGGTTTAGAGTTTTGGGTTTAGGGTACCCCCTATTGGAATCCTTATCAAGGAGCTGTTAGTATAAGGGAGAACATCCCGATGTTTCCCCCACAGACACCGCTGTCTGCAAAAAGCGGACTGGACTTCAGGATTATCTAAAAGGGCCTCTCTCGATACAGAGCCTTATCCTGTCTTAAAGTTCAGGGCACCCCGGAGAGGATCAGAATTAGAGAAGAGGGAAAAGGAGAGAAAAGGGGCACGAGAGAGAGAGAGAGAGAGCCCTAAAGCCCTAAGCCCTGACAAGCCCTAAACCCGAAACTGCCATAATGAGCTCCCAGCCACTGCAACGGTAATGGCCACAGCGGCCTGGATAGCCAAGTTCACGCACGCGTGTTCAAAACATGGGCCCTGGGCCCAATGGCCTGGGTTAGGCTGTATATGATTTACATCGTTTTGCTTTGGGATGTTCCCCCTTATACGAACAGTCCTTAAAAGGGATTTTTTGCAGCCCCTATTCTAATCCTCATTAAGCGTGGTTAGTTTAAGGGGGAGCATCCCAAGTTGTGCCATAAACCGTGAAGAAGCTACCATATCAGAACCTCCCCAAACAAAATTCAAAAGCATAATTCCTACACACCCACACATTCAATGTTCAACGAGCCCACTCACCCCAAAGCCCTCCAGGAAATGTTGGTGGCTGACGTCTCTGCTTAAGGGTTCAGGGTTTAGGGTTTAGGGTTTGGGGTTTGAGGGTTTAGGGTCTAAGGTTTAGGCTTTAGGGTTTAGGGGCACCGAGCGTATGAGCTTGCTCTGGCAAAAGTGTGTTGTGGAAAGCAACAACTCTCAGGTGCGACTTCCCTGTACCCCTAAGCCCTGAGCCCTAATCCCTCAACCCGAAGTAGCCCTAAACCCCAAACCCTACACCCTAAACCCTGGACCCGAAACCCTAAACTCCAAACCCGAAACCCGAAAACCCAAACCCTACACCAAGCACCGTTTGTACCCCCCGACGAAGATCGCATCGAAATGCTGAGCATGGCCTTCATCACGTCCGCGTGTAGAAGCAGCCTTGAGGTTTCGGGTTTAGGGTTTCGGGTTTCGGGTTTGGGCTTTATGGCCATGACTGAATCTATAGGTTGGCTCAGGCTTCAGGGTTCATAAGGCTGAAGCAGAACCGATGAGTACACTTAAGGGCTGAATATGTAGACCTCAATCCTCGACTCCCTGTGTTGAACGCACAGACGCCGAGCTATTTCCTGGTAGTCTTCGTAGCCCAAGACCTAAGCACGATGCACCGACCCGAACCCTAAACCCTAAACCCGAAACCCTAAACCCTGAACCCTAAACCTCAAATCCAGTGCAATATCTGCAGCCATGCGGCCCAGGTGCGGACACAAATTCTAAGTCGTTTGCGTCTGCGCCGACTTGGTGACGCGGGCGTCAGGACCAAGTCTGGAATGGTAATCCTGACTTGGCCCTAAACCCTAAACCCTAAACCCTAAACCCTAAACCCTAAACCCTAAACCCTAAACCCCTAAACCCTAAACCCTAAACCCCTAAACCCTAAACCCCAAACCCTAAACCCTAAACCTGAAAAATATTTGTATACAGGGTCCCTTAGAAACCCAAATAAGGAAAAACACAAAATGTCCCAAACACCAACCAAGAATCGTAAGCGGTTGTGGGAGCGTAGAGCGTGATTGCGTAAATGAGCTGTAAACAGCTGCCGGACGCGCAAAGGAGTTGGCATGTGTACCGGTGACTGCTTCTTCGGGTGAATATGGGGTTTAGGGCTTCGGGTTTTAGATGTCAAATCAGCCATTCTCCTGGCCCCCTCCTCGCCCGATGTCCCGCCCAGCTGATCCCTGGAGTGCAAAGGCCCCCAAGAAAGCCCACAGAGAGTTTTGCCGAGTATTTTCTGGAGTGCCCCACCCCCCCGTCCCCCCTTGCCACGGAGAGAGTCCAATGCCCACCCCGAGAAAAGCCCCTCCAGCAATGTCTACAGAGAATGCCATAGCCCTGAAAGCTAAACCTCCAGAGAATTTCGCAGGAGAGTCCTGCTATTCTCGTGAGTCCGGCGATAGATTCCTGCCTTATTAGTCAGAAAGTTAGTCGTAGGGTTTAGGGTTTAGGGTTTAGGGTTTAGGGTTTAGGGTTTTATCCTGTCCGGGCTTCGGGTTTATAGGGCCTGGGCCATGAAACGGCGTTTCTCAGAGGAGAGCCGCCTCTCCACTGGTCGTGAAACCGTGGCCACGCAAAGCGATGCTTTCAGCACGTCGGCGTGGCTCGCGTGAAACTGTATAAGAAGAGGGGTCGGAATAATATTACTAATAGTATTCCCAATTTTTGATCCCTTTATCAATATACCACTTCTATCATGGGGGGGGGGCGGGCATCCCTAATTTGTGGTCCCATTGTTGGGGTTCCTTTTCAGACTTCTATATCAAGTAGCCCAAGTGGAACTATGGTTGAACGATTGAAGATCTGCCCTAATCCTTGGGGACGAAATGAAGCCTAAAAGGGTTTATGGTTCATATACCTTAATAGGAATTCTAGTAGTAGAGGGTATATGACCCCAATTTTAGGGTTCATTTCGTCCCCAAGGAATATGCCACCATACCTTAGTTGCGCAACTCACCTCAGACCTCTGGCTGCAGAGGCCGGGGAATTTCAGCACATGGGGCTTGATCTCGCTTGAAGCCATTTATTCTTAAGGTGTGTAGCGGACACCCTAAACCCTAAAACCTAAACCCTAAACCCTAAACCCTAAACCCTAAACCCTAAACCCGGCAAGGGGGCCCTATGATTCAAATCAACCCCCACATGGATCCCAAAGAGTGTCACACGAGGCGAGGGATCGCGCGGAGTCGTATACAGTATCATCAACCATGCCAAATCCCAACACATGTTGTTCATCATTTCCGAACCTCTATTTCAGTGAGCTGGAAGAGGATAGCTCCTAAACGTATGAACCCTAAACCCTAGACCTTACAAACTCTAAACCTGTTGCGCTTTGCCGGGATCTCAGCGCATCATCATCTTCACGAACTCCTGCGTGAAACTCAGGGTTTAGGGTTTAGGGTTTAGGGTTTAGGGTTTAGGGTTTGAACCAGACTCTGAGTCAGCACGTCATGGCTAAGGCCCTGCGAACCTAAACCTGGATCCCTAAACGCGGATAACTTGGGATGTTCCCCCTTATACTAGCAGTCCTTGACCCTAAACCCTAAACCCTAAACCCTAAACCCTAAAACCCTTATACTGTATACTAGGAGTCCTTAACAGTAGTAGGGATTTCTAGTACCCCCTGTTATAGTCCCCCAAAAGGGCTGTTCGTAGAAGGGGGAACATCCGGGTGCTTCAAGAGAGCCCCCCATGAAAGGGTTTAGGGTTTAGGGTTTAGGGTTTAGGGTTTAGGGTTTAGGGTTTAGGGTTTAGGGTTCAGGGTTCAGGGTTTAGGGTTTAGGATGACCCCATGCAAGTGAGCCAACAGCGTGCTCGTTGTGTGAGGTCCAGTCTGATACCACACCCTGTTGGATGACCGTAGCCCCAAACCAAACCCCAAAACCCAACAACACTAAAATTCTAAATCTCAAGCCTTAAACCACCAAACCCCCAAACTACGAAACCCCTAAATCCTAAGCCCCACAACCCGACCCTCAAGCCCCATTCTCCGCTCTGAGGTCCCTCGATAAGCGGTCAGAGGGTTATCAGCCATACCACTTTGATCAACGTTTGGAAGAGCGTAGACTTGCTGTAGACGCCCCCCGCTTAACCCCTTAAGACCCCTAATGGCCCCAACACCCTGCATACATCAGAACCATAAACCCATTAAAGCCTTATAGCACTCCATAAACCCCTCCTTAACTAACCCCAAAAACCGAAACACGGGATGTTCCCCCTTATGCTAACAGCCCTTAATAGGATTACAAAAGGGGGGGTACTATAATCCCTATTCAGGACTGTTAGTGTAAGGGGGAACATCCTGACCCCAAACCCAAACCCTGAACCCTAAACCCTAAACCCAAAACCCAAAACCCTAAACCCCAAAAGACGCAGCCCTCAGCAAAACCGTAGATAAACCACAAGGCCTTGTAGGTCATCTGCTCGAGATCGCCATCCTCGAACTTTGCTTCCTCAAACATCATCTCCAACTCCTGTGAGTGTTTTTGTATTGGCTGAGGTTTAGGGTCTATAGGATCAATCAACTCTCTACACCCTAAACCCTAAACCCTAATCCCTAAACCCTAAACCCTAAACCCTAAACCCTAAACCCAGGGTTTGGGGCGTTAAGGATGTCGGGGCCTTGTGGGGTTCAAAGCCGAGGCGTTTACGGGGTCTGGAGCATGGGGAGACTTGAGGATTGCGAAGCCTTCCCTAAGCCCTACAAAAGGTGCTTGGGGTTTGGGGACTAGGTTTAGGATTTGGGCTTTAGGGGCGTTTGTACGACAAGCTTCCGGGTGAGTGTGTTTAGGGTGCCTTGTAAATTGCAGAGTGCATATGTGGGGTGTCCTTTCGGGATACTCGTCATAAAAACCTTGCCCTACGCCCTAAACCCCAAAACCTGAAACCTCTTGAGTTTTGGAGGTTCAGGGCTTTTTTGGTTTAGGGTTTGTTAGGGGTTTAGGGGTTTTGGGGGTTCGGGGCGCTTTAAGGTTTAGGGTGCTTTAGGGTTCAGGGTTTGTGTGGTGTAGGGGTTTTGGGGTTTGGTTTGTGGGGTGCAGGGGTTTTGGGGTTTGGGGTGTTTTCGCATCTGCCGGGTCTAACCATCAGACTCTTGCGACTATTCTACTAGTTGCTTAAGAACCCCCCCCCCCCCCAAGAAAAAAGGAATCCCTATACTACCCTTATCAGCAAAAATTGTTGCCGTTTGTTTCTTGGGGGCGGGTTCTTAAGCAAATGGTAGAATTGCATTTTGTTTAGGGGAGTGCCGTCCTCGGAAGTGAAATCCTTGGCCAGGGACTGCATCTGCCTGGCGCGAGAAATCGAAAGTGCAGACAACCCGAAATCCTTGACCCTCTTCCCGAGTGTGTTCGGACTTTTCTTGTATCGTAGCCCCATCTCCAGATCAGGTCATGCTTACCCCTAAACCCTGTAGAGTTTAGGGTGCAAGGAGTCTTGTGTCAGGTACTCACCGGGCCAGAAAAGGCAAACTGCTTAGCTTCCTACGTCGTGGGGCTGTGTTCCTGCCATCGGGTACGGTTTGCTCAACTCTAAACCCTAAACCCTAAACCCAAAACCCTAAAACCTTATGTTCACAGGAGGCTCACCCCCAAGCTCGCAAGCTACGACTCGAGATTTCATGAGCTTCACGCTCAAGACCCCAGACTCTATCACCCTCTTGAGCAATTCCCTAAGGGTCCCAGTTGACCCTTTTAGCCTTCGACTCTTAATTCAACCCTGAAACCCTAAACCCTTAATCCTAAACCCCTCTTTCATATATAATTTAAATGTTAAGGAGTTACTGGGCAAGGTCTTTTTTTAACTGGGCAAGGTCATTTTTTTAATGGGCAATGTCGTTTCGTCCAAAAAACGACCTTGCCCAGTCAAAAATGTTAGGCAAGGTCATCTTTTTACTGGGCAAGGTCATCCTGTTACTGGGCAAGGTCATTCTTTTACTGGGCAAGGTCATTTTTTCTGGGCAAGGTCATTTGTTTATTGGGCAAGGTCATTACTGGGCAAGGTCATTTTTTTACTGGGCAAGGTCATTTTTTTATTGGGCAAGGTCATTTTTTACTGGGCAAGGTCATTTTTTTACTGGGCAAGGTCGTTCCATAAGTGAAATATTTTCTTAATGTTGTGGGATTCTTTGGGCGGGTGGGTATTTTTCTGGAGAAATTTCTTGACTAGTGAATGCTTGGACTTGAGATGCTGAACCCTAAACCCTAAACCCTAAATCCTAAACCCTAAACCCTAAACCCTGAAACAACTTAAGCCCTTAAAGCCTTTTTCTAATATCCTTAATTAGACCCCTAAGGGTCCATGTACCTTATTATTGTATACTTGGGCGCCAAAGGCCCTATATGGGAAGTACTTTAAGGCCAACGTCTTTAACTGTTTAGGTACATGGACCCTTAGGGGACCCAATTGAGCAACTCGAAACGCCAACTGTCAACCCTCTCTAGGCTGCACGATAACCTGGAGAAAGGGGGCCCTTTCTTGCTTTAAGGGGGCTGATAAGTGAACCTAAGCCCCCCCCCAAAAAAATAAAAAAAAATAATAACAGGACTACTGGGCATTCCTCTAGCCACGAGAATGGGTTTTAAGGGACCCAAAACCATAAACAAATGGAATAAGGGCCTACGATGGGTTTAGGATCTAGGGTTTAGGCCCTAAAAACCAAAATCCTAAACCCTAAAACCCTTAGGTTTGAGCAGACCATCCCGAAACCTGAGAGCGGAGTAGTGAGCTCCGCACGCGATGAAGTCCGATTTCTGGATCTTTCCCTCCTTGCCCTGCGCGGTTAGGGCTTTAGGGTGAGCGATCTCCTATACTCCCCTTAGAACCTCAACAAAAAAATAGTATTTTGAATATTCCCTTGGGTTTTTTTATAAATGAAAGTACGAAATTATTCCTAAGGGGCCTATAGTCTGAGGGGCGAACATGAGGTTGAGTAGGTTGCAGGGATATAACCCCTAAGCGTCCAGGTACTTGTTTTAGCATATGCTTGAGCCGTAAAAAGGGGTCCCATATAGAAGCTTTAAGGCCCAAGTATATACTAGGAGTCTGTTTGGTACATAACCGGATGTTAAGGGTTTAGGGGTTTATGAAGGGTTCAAAGGGTTTGGGGGCGGGGGGGGGGGGGGTGGCGGAACTGGATCTGAAGAAAGGCCTTCGAACCATGAAGGCTTAGCGTTTAGGCTTCATCGCCGGATGCATAGCTCCTGGGGGTGTTTCAGAACCCTAAACCCTAAACCCTAAACCCTGAATAGCAACACGCTCTTGTCACAAACCGAAATCTTGAATCCGAGGCTGGACCTTGTCGAAGAATTCAAAAGCGAAGCGGTGTTGCTCATCTGGCTTCACGACCTCGAGACCCAAGAGTAACCTAGGAATAAGAAAGGTTGAGGGATTAGGGTTTAGGGCTAGGGTTTGAGGTTTAGGGTTTAGGGTTTAGGGTTTAGGGTTTAGGGTTTAGGGTTTAGGGCTTAGGGTTTAGGGTTTAGGGTGACCCAAGACGTAACCTAGGAATAAACAGGGTACCCTTTTTGGTTTAAAGGGGCCTTATATTAGGCTGCCCAGTAACCTAGGCTTAAAAAGGGCGCCCTTTTTTGCTTAAAGGGGTCTATAAGGGAACCTATACCCCCAAAAAGGGAATAAGGGTACTACTGGGCATCCTAGTATAAGGGAACCCAAACCCCCAAAAACAAGGGAACAAGGGCCTACTCTGGGCGATTGAAGGCTTCGAGGCATCGGCTCGGACTGAGGTTCGGCTTCGGGTTCAAGAGGCTTAAACAGGGGGTTTGGGGTTTAGGGCTTAGGGCTTAGGGTTTAGGGTTTAGGGTTTAGGGTTTGGGGTTTGGGGTTTAGGGTCCAGAGTTTGAGGTTTGGGGCCTAGGGCCCCAAACTTTGGTGGGCACGTAAGGTATGGAATGCCTTTCTACTGCCCCGAGAGCTAGTAAAACTGTCCCAGCTGATTTCAGAGAGCAGAAACCCTAGAACGACGGTAGCGCGGGTAAGGAGGGTTTCTTTTTCTTCTGCGCGGCAATACTGTCAGTCGGGTATCACTGAAAAGCAATTGGCGAGCCGGCGGTCTGCAAACGCCGCCTGCTTCCTCGACCATGGTGAGCTATATAGTCAAGGCTCCTCTGCTCCATTCTTGGGGCAGTTACATGGTCCCTTAGTATGGGCCCTTAAAAAGGGACGCCCTAGACAAAATCAGGGCCCATGCATCAGAACTCTTTAAGGGAGGTTGGGGACCATACTAAGACCCGTGAAACTACCCTTACATCCATAGCGTGGCTAGAGAGCCGTGATGGCAATGGTATATAGTGGCCGTGATCATGGAAACCTTCGGAAAGGCACAGCAGGGATACGTAATCGCATCGTGGTCACGGCAATGCCACGTATGAACGGATGAACATATGGGGATGTCCGACAATAGGGGTAGTAGTCTCTTTCAAGGGGATTCTACTCTATTTGGGGTACAAAAGGGGGTACCCCAATTCTGGGAAATACCCATATAATGAATAACATTTCATGGAAGCCATGGCCTAGCTGCTTCTTCTCATTGCATCATTGCTTGAAGCCGTCAAAACCCCCCTAAACCCTCCTAAACCCCAAACCCTAAACCCTCTAGAACCAGAATAATTAATTCGCAGCTCATCATAGCAATCAGCGGCCTACAGCCCGCAGTGTGGAGCATTGACAAAAGCTCACTTCGCTGCCCTGCTTCGCAGGCTGTGTCTCCCTGCTTTGCAGGCTTTCGTCGCTAATTATGGTGTGCATCGCTCGACCAGGCTTGAATTGTCGGGATTTAAAGACCCTACGCCCAGAACACGGAAACCGTACCGAGACCCGAACTTAGTTCGGGTCTAGAGACCTGGGGCTTCTGTAGCCACCCATTGCCTATAGCCCAAACCGCCCTTTTTGTTCTCGCTTTCTTGCCAACAAACCCTAAGCCCTTAACATCTAAACCAACACCCTAAATCCCTAAACCCTTAATGCCCTAAACCTTTGAACCCACAACCCTAAGCCCTTAACATCTAATTCCCTAATCCGAACCCTAAACCAGAAACACCCTAGACCTTTGCACGCTACTCTGATGCCTCCAGCGTCAGTAGGTGGGAGGGGGCTGGCCAATGCGCTCCTGCCAGCCGGGCTCCAGGCGGTCGATGGCCTCGGAGGACCAAAATCCAGAGGGTTTAGTCGAGTCTAGTAGGTTTCGGTAGTGACTGTATAGTTTGGACCCTATACCCTATAAACCCTATAAACCCTGTAAACCCTATAAACCCTATAAACCCTATAAACCCTATATAAACCCTATATAAACCCTATATAAACCCTATATAAACCCTATATAAACCCTATAAACCCTATAAACCCTATATAAACCCTGTAAACCATATAAACCCTATATATACACCCTATATACACGCTATATAAACCCTATCTAAACCCCATATAAACCCTATATAAACCCTATATAAACCCTACGGGTTTTGGGCTTGGGGTGTAGGCTTCCTTGCACTTGCGCGCACGTGAGAGGAAGCTGAGGATAACGCGCTCATCATGATGTCCACACCTGATACGCCGCCGAGCTTCAGAGGATTTAGGGTTCAGGGTTGAGGGGTTTAGGGGTTTAGGGGTTTAGGGTTTTGGGGTTTAGGGTTGAGGGGTTTAGGGGTTTAGGGTTTGGGGGTTTGGGGGTTTGGGGGTTTGGGGGTTTGGGGGTTTGGGGGTTTAGGGTTTCGGGTTGAGGGGTTTAGGGTTTAGGGGTTTCGGGTTGATATAGGGTTTAGGGTTTAGGGTTGAGGGGTTTAGGTTTCAGGGTTTAGGGATTTAGGGTTCAGACATATCCAAAGCCCTGAACGCCGCGAGTTTGAAACCTGAACTCTGAGTCCTGCCAGAGGAGGATCGCTCCTTGGCCTGCTGATGCCATACGTGCTTGCTACGCGTTTGGCCTGGGAAAACCCTAAACCCTAAACCCTAAACCCTAAACCCCCTAAGCCCCCTGAGTTGCGCACTTATGAAGAACGGCAGCTTGACGAAGAGCTCCATGAAGACTTCCCCCGCGAATGACAAGATGGTAGTGTCCTCCCTGCAGCCAGCAATGCAACCCTCTCAACCCCTAAACCCTAAACCCTAAACCCTAAACCCTAAAGCCTAAATACAGAAATGAAGGCCTTTGAAGGCAGGTCGCAAATCTCGAGCTGGGTTCCGGAAGGTATAGGGTTTAGGGTTTAGGGTTTAGGGTTTAGGGTTTAGGGTATACCAGGATGAAGGAAAGCAACAAAAGACTCAGCATTTCGGGGACTAGGGTCTGTAGGGTCTGGGAACCCTAACACCGAACCCGAAGCCCTGACCCAGAGACCTTCAACCGATGACCCTAAGCTAAACCCTCAACCCTAAACCCTAAATCCTAAACCCTAAACCCTAAATCCTAAACCCTAAACCCTATAAACCCTAAACCCTCAACCCTAAACGTGGGCTCTGGGGATTCAGAAAGCTTCTGCGGATCTCTGAGATGTGGACGACTTGGGCGTGGGTCGACCTCCGATCGCATGTCGAAGCTTGAGGGTCAGGGTTTGGGGTTTAGGGTTTAGGGTTCAGGGCTTAGGATTCCATAAAATGTAGGGTTCGGGATGGTTCGGGGCTAAGGGCTTAGGGCTACAGGGCTGAGGGCTTCGGGCTTAGGGTTTAGGGCTCAAAGTTTAGGGTTTCGGGCTCAGGGTTTAGAGTAGCATGTAGGGTTTCGGGTTTAGGGTTTAGGACGTTCCAACATATCCCAAGGTCGTACCTACAGAACAATGCGCGCTTGGCTCCGCGCGTGTGGATCCATGCTCTGGGAGCTCCGTGGCCGCAGTCTCAAACAGATACTGCCTGAAGCACGGGTTTAGGGTCTAGCGTTTCGGGTTCAGGGTTGAGGGGGAATCTAGACCCAAGAGTAGCCTACGAATAAAAGAAGTACCCTTTTGGGTTTAAAAGGGGTGCAAGGGAACCTAAGCCCTAAAAGTAAAGGAACAAGGGCCTGCTGATTCTGGGTCCTAGAAACCCTAACACCAAACCCTGAGCCCAATTCTGAACCCTAGGTATTGACACTTCACCATGAGGAGTGCCAATAATGCCACACGGAGCCTCACGACTAAACCACCGTCTAGGCTTCGTAGATTAGGGTTGAGGGTTGAGGGTTTCGGGTTTAGGGATTATAAGGTTTATAAGGTTTATAAGGTTTATAAGGTTTATAAGGTTTAGGGTTTAGGGTTTAGGGTAGGTTTTAATTTAGGCTTATAGGGCTTAGGGTTTAGGCTTTAGGGCTTGCAAAACCGCCCCTATGCCAGAGCTACACGTGCACTGCGACAGCGGCACCAGTCTATAACCATGTGCACCCCAGCACTTGACTTCATGAGGTGGCTTTGAATAGAGAAGGGTTTAGGGTTTTGGGTTTTGGGTTTGGGGTTTGGGGTTTGGGGTGCAGATGCATCTGAAATGCCAGCCTGACGGATTTGGCTTTGAAGCCGTTAAGCTTCATTTACTGAGCCACTACAGGTTGAAACCTAACATCCACTAGCGCCAGATGCAAAGCCGCACTACCAAGCTCTGCAGGAAAGCGACCCCTATCAACGCGTGCAGTTTAGTATCTGGGTCTCGTTAAGGCCTATTCCGGAGTGGCTTGGCGTTAAAGGTTTCGGGATTAAACCCTATACCCTGAACCCTAAACCCTGAACCCTAACCATAAACCCTAAACCCTACACCCTAAACCCTGAACGCGAAACCATTAACCATAAACCCTATACCCTAAACCCCGAACCCTAAACCCTGAACCCTAAACCGTAAACCAAAAACCCTGGACATGCCGGGCCTTTCCACGGAGCTTGCCCTCGGGCTTTGTGCCGAGGAATCTCGATTCGGAGCATCCTGTTTGAGATGTTCCGGGCCATGTGAACTAGCCAAAGGGACACAAGCTTTAAAGCCACTACATCCCCAAACCCAACGGGAATCTCAACCTCAGGTGTGACATCTAGTTTAGGGTGTAGGGCTTAGGGTGTAGGGTTTAGGGCCTTGGGTTTAGGAACCATACTTGGCGACCTTCACTTGGCGACCTTCAGCCCTAACCCCGGAAAACCGCTGTGAAGTGGTAGCCGACATCCTCGTCGTCCGCCAGGTGCATCGTGGGGGCTGCACCTGCCCATGGGCACGGAGCTCACAGGGAATAGAGGGGTGGGGGAGGGGGGGGGAAGGCCTACTTTGGAGTAGACCCTGGAAAAAAGCATATACTTTGTAGGTATAAGTAGCTATAATAGGAACCCAGAACCAAAAAAGTATTTAAAGTGTAGTACTCCAAAACCCCGGAGAGGTTTATGTGTTTGTTCCACATTAATTAGGGTTCTCTAAAGAAACCGCAAGGGACCCTTACCCAAAAGAGACCCTAGCTTGGAATGCCCCCGTGGTCTTCTTTGGTGCAGCTGAACCCTACTCCCAAAACCCCAAAGCCGAGACAACCTTCAATCCTAAACCCTAAACCCTAACCCTAAACCCTAAACCCTAAACCCTTTGCCGCAGAGCAGAGGCCTTTGGGTGATGGGCTGGGAACCCCGCTTGGCCTCGACCACGACGCCCACGGATTTGGTCCTCAGAATTTAGGGTTCAGGGTTTAGGGATTAGGGCTTAGGGATTGGGGTTTAGGGTTTAGGGTTTAGGGTTTAGGGTTTAGGGTTTAGGGTTTAGGGTTTAGGGTTTAGGGTTTAGGGTTTAGGGTTTAGGGTTTAGGGTTTAGGGTTTAGGGTTTAGGGTTTACGGTTTAGGGATTAGGGTTTGGGGTTTAGGGTTTTGGGAAACTCCAATGAAGTTTTCCAGGGTCGAGTTTTGGGAAGCCGCTGAAATCTCCAGGCACTAACCAGAGACCAACATTCCTGAACCCCAAAACCCCGAGAGCAGGTTGCCACGAGGCGGGCCTCGCGGCGACCGCCTCGCCGCAACCTGCTATCGGGCCGCCGCGAACCCTAAACCCGAAAACCCTAAACGGCCCTAAACCCTAAACCATAAAGCCCAACACCCTGAAGCCCTGAAGCCCTAATCCCCTAAACCCTAAACCCCTCAAACCTGAAACCTCAAACCCTAAAACCCTAAACCCAAAAACCCGACCACCCTCAAATCCAAAACTCTAAACCCTAAACCCCAAACCCTAGCCCTGAACCCTAAAACCCTAAACCCTAGACCTTAAACCCCTAAACCCATAAAACCCTAAACCCTAAACCCTAAACCCTAAACCCTAAAACCCTAAAACCCTAAACCCATAAGACCCTAAACCCATAAAACCCTAAACCCTAAACCCTAGACTCTGAACCACCCACCCGCCCGAGGAGCGGACCGATTCCAAGGAGGCCTGGGTCAAAGCCTTCCAGTCTGAAGTCGCATTTTGTGCTTAGGGACTAGGAGGAGGGTTTAGGGTTTAGGGTTTAGGGTCTAGGGTCTAGGGTTTAGGGTTTAGGGTTTGAAGGCGCGAGGCGGGTGGGCCGGAAAGGCGCTGCTCTTGGGTTTGGGTGCAAAGGAATTATGATTCTTAGGGCTGTAGGTAGTTCAGGGTGTATGGGTGGCTGCAGGGTTTGGGGTGAGAAGGGGGGGTGACTTGACTACGGCTCATGGCTTCTGAGGTTCGAACAGTCAGCAAAAAACATTATGTAAGGGCCTTAATACTTATAATAGGGCCATAGTAGAACAGATAGGGACCCTGAGGGAATTCCATTGTCAATTATTCCGGCCTGTATATCTGTAAGAGCCCATGTACCTAAATAGGGAATACTTGGGCCATAAAGTAGTTGCTATATAGGGAGTTTGGGGCCTGTAAGTATCCGGCATGGAAGTGCCGATGAGCTGAGCCAGAAGGGAGGTATTCAAAGTTTTACCCTCCAGTGCTGAATTTGATGTCGGGAGTTCAAGACATAAACACTCTTCCTAGCCTCCTCAGCACTGGACCCTAAACCCTTAAACCCTTGAAACACCCTTAAACCATAGTACCCCCTGATATCCTCCCTATTTAGGACTGTTAGTATAAGGAGGGGGGGGGGGGGAACATCCCAAGTTTGGGGTTTCGGGTGTAAAGAATCCTTCAAACCCTCAAACCCTCAAACCTCAAACCCTCAAACCCTCAAACCCTCAAACCCTCAAACCTCAAACCCTCAAACCCTCAAACCCTCAAACCCTCAAACCCTCAAACCCTCAAACCCTCAAACCCTCAAACCCTCAAACCCTCAAACCATAAACCCCAAACCCTAGACCCTAAACCCTAATTCCTAAACCCTACACCCTAACCCTGAACCCTAAACCCTAAACCCTAGCGCCGGTGCCTCCAGAGCCTCGTACCGTCGGGACAACGAGCTGGCACGCTGCCTCGCGCAGCCCGAGATGTGCCACCCGCTGGGTAGGGGTGTCGATGTAAATTGGGGGGTTTAGGGTTTAGGGTTTAGGGTTTAGAGTTTAACAGCTTGGGTACGATTGCAAGTGCGTGGGGGATTGTGAGGGGACCATACTGGTATTCGGCCAGATTTTCACTGCAGTGCCCCTATCTGAGCCCCAAGTAGCTCAGCCCCTGCCTTGCTGTGGGCTCTTGCTCCAGGACAAATGTCTCCAGCACCATGGCAGCAACAAAATTGGGCACTCTAAGAGATAAGTATCGCGAACAGGCCTCATGCCATGCCACGTTCAATGTCAAATCTGTGTCATCTCCTTTGCTTTCAGCAACGCTTGATCCGCGAGCCGCGTTGCAGTTGCGAGCAAGATGATGGCAAGACAGCCGAAGTTGCACAACTGTCGTGCTAAACAACTCTCAAAGGTGCCTGAACGTCCACAAGGTAAATATATAGTTAGCTACCAGAGTGCCATAAAGAGTCTATCAAAATTATACATATGTGGTAGAAGGTACCGCATTCCCTAACTTCACTAGATCCCTGTTAAGGTCGGCCAGGGCTTTCCCAAAACACCCGCCGATGAGCAGGTTATCCGAAGACGGTTCCTTGATGAATGCGGGCAGGTGGGTGGGGCAGGTCGGCAGGGCAGTTGCTTTCTGCACGTCGATCCTGTCAGTCAGACATCACGAAAAGCAATTGGCGAGCCGGCAGGCAGCAGATGCCGCCTTGCTTCCTCCGCCATGGTGAGCTATATCGTCAAGGCTCCTCTGCTCGATGACCCTGCTTATAAAGAGGACTGATGGCACTGGTAGTGGCAGTGGTCATGAAACCTAGAACTGCACAAGCCGCAGTCGCATTGTGGTGGTTCCAAACAGAAACCATTTCAATGTATAAGGAAACACTCATGAAAACCAAGCTACTCATGCACACTGGAAGAAAAAACCGTCACAACCAGCAAAATCATTACCTGCACTGTAGCAATTGGGGGTCCTCTAACCCGCAGTGCGGAGCATTGATGATGGCTCATGTCGCTGCCCTGCTTCGCAGGCTGTGTCTCCCTGCTTTGCAGGCTTTTGTCACTAATTGCGGCGTGCATCGCAAGACCGGGCTTGACATGCCGGGATTTAAAGACCCTAAGCCCGAAACCCTAACCCCGTACCTAGATCCCAAGCCATTTCGGGTTTAGGGATCCGGGGCTTCTTTTTTGAGCTAGTGATAGAATAGCCAGAATACACCCGTACGCCCTGTAGCCTAAGTTGCCTTCCATGAGCACCCTATAAACCCTATAAACTCTAAGTCGTCTTAAACCTTCGAACCCTAAGAATCCCGAAACCTCTGATGCCTCCAGCGTCAGTAGGTGGGAGGGGGCTGGCCAATGCGCTCCTGCCAGCCGGGCTCCAGGCGATCGATGGCCTCGGAGACAAGCAAAAACATGGGCTTTTGTTTTGTAGGGTGTGGGCATCGAGTCATAGAGCCGAGAGCCTGCTTGGTTTAGTTGCTAGCGTTTCGGGTTTAGGGTCGCGAGCGGCGCTTTTAGAGGTCCATCACAGGCTTAGCTTTGAGGATTTTGGGACCCCTAAACCCTGAAAAAGCCGAAGATTTTGGGAACCCTAATCCCTAAAAGCCCAAAGCCCACAACCCCAAATCCGGAGAGGCTGAAAGGGGATCGAGGCTGCCGTTTTCGCGAGAGCAGTCGAAGCTGAGGATGAGACACTCATCAAGATGTCGACACCTTCGCCGGGCTCAGAGGAAGACAGAGTTGAGGGCCCTGAAACCCTAAACCCTGAACCCTAAACCCCCTAACCCTAAACCCTAAACCCTATAAACCCTATAAACCCTAAACCCTAAACCCTAAACCCTCAACCCTGCCCCCAAAACCCTAAACCCTAAACCCTAAACCCTAAACCCTAAACCCTACCTTTTGGGCCTTTAGGGCCTTGCCACTTAAGCATCAGGCATCCTAAGCCCCCCTTGAAGACTTGGAACCCCAAGAGCCCTAAACACTCAAAGAGGGGTGTCCAACTTCTATCGATGCACATGGGGGAGGTTCCTCTAGATTAGGGTTTAGGGTTTAGGGTTTAGGGTTTAGGGTTTAGGGTTTAGGGTTTAGGGTTTAGGGTTTAGGGTTTAGGGTTGAGGGTTGAGGGTTGAGGGTGAAGGGTTTGGTAGGGTTTTGGTTTAGGGTTAAGGTTTAGGGTTAGGGTTAGGGTTTAGGGTTTAGGGTTCAGGCTTCAGGCTTCAGGGTTCAGGGTTCAGGGTTCAGGGTTTAGGGTTTAGGGTTTAGGGTTTAAGGTTAGGGTCCCTTCTTGGAGTCCTTATCATAAGGGTGACGCCTTAGATCCCCTCTCTGGGGTCCTTATTGTAAGGGTGACGCCTGTTATGGGGGACCCCTTTTGGGGGGGCCCTTGTTCTAAGGCCTTCTATGCGGGACCCAAAAGGGACCACGATGTCGGGAAAACTGCCTACATGTTGCAAACGATTCCCCGAGCTGCGCGCTGATGAAGAACGGTAGCTTCAACCCGAAACCCTAAACCCTAAACCCTAAACCCCCTGAGATGCGCACTGATGAAGAACGGTAGCTTCACAAAAAACTCCATGGCGACCTCCCCCGCGAATTGCAAGATGGTGGTGTCCCTGCAGCCAGCAGTTTTGCCACTCACCAGATCAAAGCTTAAACCCTATAGCCCTAAACCCTAAACCCTAAACACCAAACCCCTGAAACCCTAAACCCCTGAAACCCTAAACCCCTGAAACCCTACACCCCATGTGGCATGTGGGGGGCTCAGAATAGGGCCCTAAACCCTAAACCCTAAACCCTAAACCCTAAACCCTAAACCCTAAACCCTGAACCCTAAACCCTAAACCCTAAACAGGCAAAAAAAAACATCCCGGCTCTGAGATGCAGACGACTGGGGCTTGGGTCGACCTCGGCAGGTCTCAAACGCGTGGGGTTTAGGGTTTAGGGTTTAGGGTTTAGGGCTTAGGGGGTTTAGGGCTAATCTGTACTCCACTTAGAATCCTCATTAAAAAAATGCGAGTGTGTTAAATTTTCCCTTGGGTGTTATATTCATACAAATAAAAAATATAGTAGTTTTCTAAGGGGCCTATAGGCATGAAGTTGAGAGCTTGAGGTTGATTGGGTTTAGGCTTCAGGGTGACCCCTATGTGCTTCTAGGGAGACAGCTCAGGAAGAGCCCCCGGCAGGAACTGCATTAGATCCTTCAGGTAGGGCCCGAAATCATCAACAAAGTTGAGGGGCTGCGGCTCTTCTTGGGCCTAAACCCTAAACCCTAAACCCTAATCCCTAAACCCTAAACCCTGAACCCTAAACCCCAAACCGCACTTTAGGCTTTTGCCTCAGCTTCGTCCCTTTTGCAAACAAAAACCGACAGCTTCGGCTGGGCGCCGCGCTCGTGGATCCCGGATCTGGGCGCTCTGTGGCCGTAGTCTCAAACGCGTACTGCCTGGGTTTAGGGTTTAGGGTTTAGGGTTTAGGATTTAGGATTTAGGGTTTAGGGTTTCGGAGTTTAGGGTTTAGGGTTGAGAATTTAGGGTTTCGGAGTTTAGGACTTAGGGGTCGGAGTTTAGAGCTTAGGAGTTAGGAGTTTAGAGTTTAGAGTTTAGAGTTTAGAGTTTAGGGCACATGAAGCAGGGTTTATATTGCTGTTATCGGTGGGGGTATACAGGGTTCCTTAACAGAACGTGAGTGTGTGTATATATATATATATGTATTTATATCGGGTGTCCTTTTTTGGGAAAAACTTCATAGCAGCCCTACTTCAAGTCGTGCATAGATGGACAGTGCGAAAAGGTCCTAAACCCTAAGCCCTAAACCCTAAACCCTACACCCTAAACCCTAAACCTAAACCCTAAACCCTAAACCTATTGCCGGCCATGCGTGCTCCAGCACTTCACTCGCCACATGGCCGTGGGGAGGGGGGGGGTGTTCCAAGATCAGGGTGACCCGAAACCCTAAACCCTAAACCCTAAACCCTCTCTTTTGGCGTGGTGGGGGTGGCGGCCCTGTATGTTCAGGGATGTCAGTACTCTGGGCTATATACAGGATACCCCTACGGTCGGGGGGGATGCCCACATCTACATAGGGGGCGTGTCTTAAACGAACGCCTCAAACCGTTTCCTGAAGTCCTTGAAACCCTAAACCCTAGACCCTATACCCTAAACCCTAAACCCCAAACCCCAAACCCTAAACCCAATTGAAGCCGTGAAGTCCGATCTCAAACTGCTAGTCCTGCGTAGGGATGATTATAATCTGTTAGTATAGGGGGGAACATGCCAAGTTTGGGGCATAGAGTTTAGGAGTTTAGGGCTTAGGGTTTGGGGGATTCGGATGTCAGCAAGGTTCAAGATTTGGGGTTTGGGCTGTAGGAGTCTGGAAGTTTAGGGCTTAGGGCTTGAAACTGCTAGGGATTGAGGAAAACTTCCCCGAAACCCTGAACCATATACCCTAAACCCTAAACCCTAAACCCTATACAAAAGCATGTCGGGCCTTTCCACAGAGCTTGCCCTCGGGCTTCGCGGCGGACCATCCTCTGCGGGAGGTTTAGGGTTTAGGGTTTAGGGTTCAGGGTTTAGGGTTTAGGGTTTAGGGTTTAGGGTTTTGTCTCAGGTTTCCAGGGGGCCACTAGTAGTTCAAGGCGCATTAAGGTTTTAGGGCTTGGGGTCTAAGCCGCAAATTCAAAAAACAAACTTATTGCCAACCTATAGCCCCTGAACACTGCGTGGCAGCCAGCCTCGTCGTCAGCAAGGCTCATCGTGGGGGCTGCGCCTGCCCATCAGCGAAAGTGACAGGGGGTCCAAGAGGATGGAGGATGCTGTTTGTATGCTGTTGGTATGAAATCCCCCTTGCAGAAAGACCCATCCCCAAAAGAAAAACCGAGAGAGACCCTGATGTAGAACAACTTCCACATTTTCTCTTCTGCAGCATCTGAGATTGCGTCTCATTTACGTCAAATATGTATTCTCGCCGCTCGAAACTTTGCGACGCTAACGCGCAACCGGTTAAAGAATCGGGCTTTTGAGTCTTGAGCTTAGGGCTTAGGGCTTAGGGCTTCGGGTTTAGGGCTTAGGGCTTAGGATTTAGTTTAGGGTTTAGGGTATAGGGTTTAGGGTTTAGGGATTAGGGTTTAGGGCTTAGGGCTTAGGGTTTAGGGTTGGGTCTTTGGAGATTCGTGATCCCAGCTGTCCTCGACCACGACGGCCCCGGATGCTG